ATTTTTATTGCTCTCTTAATGTAAAGCAAATTTATTTTATCCATTATTAGGAACTTAAATTATAAAAATCAGTTTTTTATTTTCTTGATATTAAAATAGCTTCTATACATGCTCTGTGACACTCTGCTTTTGTGGAGAGGAGAGAAAGACTTTATTTGGTATGTTTCTTGGTAAACTGTGCTTGTGCAAAGACTGCAGTGGTAGAGTGTGGTCTTTGTGACAGGGCAGGCACACTTCAGGGCCACACAGCAGTGGGAAGTGGGAAGAAGGATGTGTCTGAAGGAAATTGCCAGGTTCCAGGTAAGGAATGAAAGTTGATGAAGAACAGCAAGATGGCAGCATAGGGAGGGAGCTTACTGATAGTCCAGGAGAAGATAGTTTAATAAAAGTGGAGATAGTATAGTCTCAGGGAAGAGTCAGAGAAAAAGCGGCAGAGGAAACTCCTCTGTAATTAGAGGGACATGGTGGACCTATGTGGAGGGCACGGGCACCCACGGCTCAGGACCCTAGCTGCCAAGAGCCTCCGCACCAGCGCTGGAAAGTGAGGTGAGACGAAACCGCAGTAGCCCGAGATACTGGTGGAAAAGTGGCAGGAAGAGCCTAGAGGGAACAAGGCTCGAAAGTACACCAGCCTAACTAGAGGAGAGAAAAAATAAAAGGGACGGTGTGGACACAATTTTCTCTCCAATCACCTTACAAAGGCATATGAGCTGATGGAGCAGGCGTCATTTTGGACATATGTAATAGCTGTGCCTGCTCGGAGCTGCATCCAGCAATCAGCCGAGCATAGAAACCTGACTCTGGTGGGGAGTAATAACAGGAGACTAAGACCTAGTGATTGTGTGGAGCTTCTGAACCGGGACTGTGTGGGAAAGAAAAAAAAAAAAAAAAACAACTGAGGGTGTGCAGGAGAACTCACGGTGTGGCTGAGATGTGAGCAGTCTCAGTGGGAGATGCCACAAACTTGGGCGGCCTTGGTTACCTGGTGAGAGACATTGCAGGGAATCTGAGCTTATATTGAGGACTGCACAGATCCTTTGTGTGGTCCTTGGGACAGAGCAGACAGATATTATACCCACTGGGGCTAGCGCTCAGGCACTGATCACCATCAAGAAGAGCTCAGCTGAGCAGAATTACTTCCCTTCTGATTAAAAAAAAAGAGAGAGAGAGAGAGAGAGAGAGAGAGAGAGAGAGATTTACTATGCCAAACCTGGGTGTGTCACTGTAGGCAAACCCTTAACCCTGAAGAACAGAACAGAGCTTTCTGGCCACACCCACCACAAGCCTCTAGAGACTCACTGAAAGCAGACAGTCCACTTATCTACAGAGTCATAGTACAATGAGAAAAGCTGCCACAGTGGGAAAAAAAAAGAAGAAACCAAAAAGTATCTCCACAAATGCCAAACAACAAATGCAACAATCGAGGAAACAAGAATAAGGAAGACAACAAGATGCTCCCAAAAGAACATGACACTTTAATACAAGATTATGAATACGACGAGATAGAAGAAATGTAAGAAATGGAACTAAAAAATTGATGATAAAATACTTAGAAGTAATCAAAAACAAATGCACAAACTGCTGAAATCCATGCAGGACATGAAAGAAAATTTCTCTCATGAAAATGAAATCTTAAGGAAGAATCAAAATGAAATGAGGAATTCAATAGAAGATGAAATTGAGATATTGAAGAGAAATCAAAATGAAATGAATTCAATAGAACAAATTAAAAATGCAGTTGAGATCCTTAAAAAAGGAATCAATGAGGCAGAAAAGAGAATATTACACTTAGAAGACAGAACACAGGAAAGTATACAGTCAAACCAAAGACAAGAATAGGAAGTTTGAAATCTAAAAAATATTGTTGGGAATCTACAGGATACTATTAAAAAAAACAACATTCGGGTTCTAGGAGTTCCTAAAGGCATGGAGAGAGACAAAGGATTAGAGAGCATTTTTAGTGAGATACTAGCAGAAAACTTCCCTGGTTTGGAGAAAGAAAGAGACATCCAAGTACAGGAAGCACACAGAACTCCCAACAAATATGACCAGAAAAGATCCTTGCCATGACACATTGTAATCAAACTCACCACAGTGAAACATAAAGAAAAGATTCTAAAATGTGCAAGAGAAACACCAGATTACTCTCAGAGGATCTCCAAATAGACTCACAGCAGACTTCTCATCAGAAACCCTATAGGTTAAGAGGAAATGGCGAGATATAGCCCAGGTACTAAGAGAGAAAAACTGCCATCCCAGAATATTATATCCTACAAAGCTATCATTTGTGAATGAAGGTGAAATAAAGACCTTTCATAGCAAACAGAAATTGAAAGAATTTGTTACCACTCATCCAGCCCTGCAAAAGATGCTTAAAGATGTGTTACACACAGAAACACAGAAACATGGTCATCAATATGAAAGAAGGTGAAGGAAGAAAATCTCTCAGCACAGGGAGTTCAAAGTATGTATTAGAAATATTTATGGAAAAATGGCAGGGCAAAGTCACTACTTATCAATAGTCACATTGAATGTAAATGGCCTCAACTCTCCAGTTAAAAGACACAGACTGGCTGAATGGATTAAAAAATGAAACCCAGCCAGTGCCGCAGCTCACTATTCTAATCCTCCACTTGTGGCACCAGCACACCGGGTTCTAGTCCCAGTCAGGGCACTGGATTCTGTCCTGGTTGCCCCTCTTCCTGTCCAGCTCTCTGCTGTGGCCCGGGAGTGCAGTGCAGGATGGCCCAAGTGCTTGGGCCCTGCACCTGCATAGGAGACCGGGAAGAAGCACCTGGCTCATGGCTTTGGATCAGTGCGGCGTGTTGGCCATAGAGGCCATTTGGGGGGTGAACCAACGGAAGGAAGACCTTTCTCTCTCTCTCTCTCTCAATGTCTAATTCTGCCTGTCAAAACAAAAAACAAACAGAAACCATCTATTTGCTACTTACAAGAAACACATCTTTCCAATACAGGTGCATGCAGATTGAAAGTGAAAGGTTGGAAAAAGATATTCCATGCCAACAGAAACCAAAAAAGAGCTGGCATAGCCATTTTAATATCAGACAAAATAAACTTTAAGACAAAAACTGTTAAGAGAGACAAAGAGGGGCACTATATAATGATTAAGGGATAAATTCAGCAGGAAGATGTAACTATTGTAAATGTATATTCACCTAATTGCAGGGAACTGGGCTGTTTAAAAGATATGTTAAGGACTTAAAGGGAGACTTAGACTCCAATAAAATAGTATTAGGGGACTTCAATACCCCACCTTCAGCAATGGACAGATCAACCAGACAGAAAATCAACAGTGAAACAGCAGATGTAATCAATACTATAGACCAAATGGATCTAAAAGATACCTACAGAACTCTTTGCGAGTAGGAGATGGGATGATTTGCAGGCAGGAGGGAGGTTATGGGGGGGGGGGAAACCACTGTAATCCAAAAGTTGCACTTTCAAAATTTATATTTATTAAATAAAAGATTTTTTTTAAAAGAAAGTTGCTGAAGAGCAGCTACATAAGTTAAACAAGTTCAATTTTATACCTGTGAAACATAATCTAAATTGTAGTCTTCCAACTGAACAGTGAAAAGCCCTCAAATCATTTTTTAGTTAATCACAATTTCCCAATCTAATTCACTAATTGTAGGTTTTCTAAGTCACATCTTTAAAAAATATGCTAGCACATGAATGTTATGCTTAGTATACCTTGAATATTTAACTCCCTCTCTATTGTTTTGAAACACGAAAGACCACTTATTTGTGCATATGATAATTATGTTACAATGTTTGTTCCCAATATTTATGTACTTTATGGTTTTTTATTGCATAATAAAGAGATCAGAGAGAATCATATTCTTTGTGAGTAACTTGTTTTTCTTATTTTAAACCTAAAAGTTTAGTAATTTGTTTTTGACTGTTTAAGATAATTTTTAACAGAGGTCTAGATACCTATTTTTTCTTCCATTTCATATACCTATTTTTTCTTTCATTGATTTTACCAAGAATGAAGTCCATGTCTTGTTAATCAATATATACCAACTCACCATTTAAAAAAATAAAACTTAACTGAAAAGTGATCACTGTTAAATGTAAGAGTGGGAATAAGAGAGGGAAGAGATGTGCAATTCGGGACATGCTCAAGCTGACTTACCTCAAATGGTAGAGTTAGAAACATACCAGGGGATTCCAATTCAATCTCATCAAGGTGGCATGTACCAATGCCATCTCACTAGTCCCAGTGATCAATTTCTGTTCACAATTGATCATAATGATAGGACTAAGAACCAAAGGGATCACATAAACAAGAATAGTGTCTGCAAATACTAGCTGATAGAATAAAGAAGGGAGAGAATGATCCAACATGGGAAGTGAGATACACAGCAGACCCATAGAATGGCAGATGGCCTAAACAGCACTCTGGCCTCAGAATCAGTCCCTTAAGGCATGTAGATCTGGCTGAAAGCCCATAAGACTATTTCAGGCATGGAAAGCCAAGACACTCTGGGGAAAAAAAAAAAAACCTAAATGAAAGATCTCTGCGAGTGAGATCCCAGTGGAAAGAACAGGTCATCAAAGAAGGAGGTACCTTTCTCTGAAGGGAGGAGAGAACTTCCACTTTGACCATGGCCTTGTCTAAATGTGATCAGAGTCAGTGAACTCAGGGGGCTTCCATAGCCTTGGCAGCTCATGACAAGAGCCTAGGGTGATTACTGAGGCCAAAAACAAGAGTGTCAATTTGTTAAGTCAACAACAGGAGTCACTGTGCACTTACTCCTCATGTAGGAACTTTGTCCTTAGTGTGCTGTACATTGAGATTTAATGCTATAACTAGTACTCAAACAGTATTTTTCACTTTATGTTTCTGTGTGGGAGCAAACTGTTGAAATCTTTACTTAATGTATGCTAAACTGATCTTCTGTATATAAAGAGAAACGAAAATGAATCTTGATGTGAATGGAAGGGGAGAGGGAGTGGGAAAGGGGAGGGTTGCGGGTGGGAGGGACGTTATGGGGGGGCGGGAAGCCATTGTAATCCATAAGCTGTACTTTGGAAATTTATATTCATTAAATAAAAGTTTGAAAGCAAAAAAAAAATCTTTGTCACAGTCCCATTATTAAGCATTCTTTCATTAAAAAAGTATGTTTCTCTTAGATTAGGTCTCTATATTTACTCCTTTCTCCTTTTATATTTTCCATCTTTTTTTTCTCTCCATTGTCACAGAATTTCTCAAAGTTGTTTTCAATGTCTGATATTTTAAAATTTACTCCTTATTGGATTTTAATTATGCTCTCCCATTTTATTTCACTTATAATAATTCTATTTCTTATCCATATATTCTTATCTTTTATTTTGTAATTTTGTCCTGTGTTCTATGTTTTTCCTTTATGTTCCTATTTCTTAATGGCAAATCAAGATCCCCTCTTATGGTGAATGGCAGGCCATTTTGTGAAATTTTCTTCTTGATTTTATGCTAAATAGTTTTCAGACATCTCCTTTCACTGTTTACATTTTGCTTGAAAACTGAGCTTAGACTGTTTTATCCAGAGTCAATATTTGCACTCTATGGATTTTCCCATGGCCTCCCTGTCAATCCACTTGGCTACCTGTGAAATAATCTTCTAAAGACATGCACCTGAGAGAAGAGTTGATGTTCACAAATCTTGGCACAATGCTCAGTTGCTTCATTTTAAAACACATTTTGTTGAGAAATAATTTATGTTTAATAAACTGAATCCACAATCTAAGTAGAATTCAATGTGTTTGACAAAGGTATGTTCTGCAAACTACTGCCACATTCAGGATACAGAGTCATGCCATCACTCACCAGAATGCTTTCCTATGACTGTCTTCAGTATTTGCTTCCTCTTACCCCCAGATTTGATTTCTTCCACTTAGTTTAGAATTTCCTAAACGCTGAAATAATTACAGTTGTAAAGCATGTAATATATGGCATTTGAATTCTTTCAGTTCAGATAATGATTTTGAATTTCACCTATGTTGCTGCATGTACCAATGGTTTATTTCCATTTTTTGTTGAATAGCATACAATTGTACAGTTATATTAGAGTTCTTCTCCAGTTGTTGATGGACATGTGGTTTTATGTTTCTTAACAACTGGTGATGAAATAACTATAATAATAAAGCCTGACAGTGGTCCAACTGTGAAATATTTCACACCATGTACAGAAATTGACTCTGAATAGATCATAGACCCAACATAAGAACCTAGAAAGCTTCTGAAAGAAAACATGAAAAAAATATTTGTGACAGTTAGTTACAGATGTTATTTTAAATAGGACATGAATCATGAAAGAAAAAATTAATAAAATAACCCTTATCAAAAATTTATAAATTGTTCTTTCAAAGACACAAATATGAAAATGAAAAGAGATGTCACAGACAAGAGGGATCATTTGCCAATCATTGTCTGCTAAAGTGCCTGTATCTAGATATGTAATGAATTCAAAACCTCAACCATAAGAATATTTTTACCCAATAGCTAAAATCTCCCAATTGACACTTTGTCAAAGAAGAAAAATGAAGAGCTATTAAATACATTAAAAGATACCCAATACCATTGAATATCAGGAAAATCCCAATTGAAATTACAAAGGGACATCATTGCACACTTATTAGAATAGTTAAAATTAAAAAGATGGGCAATATTAGATGATAACAAGAATGTGGAGCAACTGGAATTCTCCTATATTGCTGGTGATAATGAAAAACAATACATCTCATCTGAAAATCTATTTGTCATTTCATGTAGTTAAGCATATATTTCAAGCAAAAATGTTTGTCCACACAAATACTTGTATGTACTTATGTGCTCACTGCAGCTTTATTCATTAAAGCTACAACTTGGAAACAACTGAAATACTCATTAAATGGTGAATGTGTGAATGAATAGTATATTCATACCATAGAATACTACTTAGTATTAAACTACTACCCCACAACGTGATGGACAAATTCTAAAAACATCATGCCAAATGAAAGAAATGAAACATATTTGTCTATATGCTATATGATTCCATTTATACAAAATTTTAGAAAAAAAGTTATCTTGATAAAAAGCAGATCGCTGATTTCTTGGGTGGGTATTTGAGTATGGAAATTGACTGCAAAAGGTTGAGGGAATCTCTTTAATATTGAGTTCTGGGGCTGGCATTTTGGCAAAGAAGGTTAAGCCATTGCCTGTGATGCTGGCATCCCCTATGGAATACAGTTCGAGTCCTTGCTGCTTCGCTTCTGATCCAACACACTGCTAATGTGCCTGGGAAAGCAGAAGAAGATGGTCCTAGTGCTTGGGGTGCTGCCACCCATGAGGGGGACCTGGAGGGAGTTCTGGGTTTTTAGCATCCACTTACCCCAACCCTGGCCATTGCAGCCAATTGGGGAGTGAACCAATGGATGGACCATCTCGATATCTCCCTCTCCTTCTTTCTTTCCATCTCCTTATTTCTTAAAATAGACATTTAGACCTTTAACTTTCAACACCTCTGTTTTCTAATTTAAGGTTATACTTTTCCCATTAAATATCATGTTAGTTTTTCTGCTTGTGTTTAATAGTTTTTTTCTTTCTTCTTTTCACCTGCATGATAATTTTTGTTGATGTGCAATGTAGCACAAATATATTTTACAGTCATCTTGCAGGCATATCTGAAGCAGCCAGTATGTTCATGGCAGAGAGACCGAGAGAAGGTGGTAGAACAGAAGTCCAGAGAGGGGCAAGAGTTAGGCCTAGGGGTTAAGACCCCACATATAACACCTGCATCCAATACCAGAGTGTCTGGGTTCGAGTCCTGGCTCTGCTTCTGATTCTAACTTCCTGCTAATACCCAGCCTGGGAAGCAATGGGAATGGATCCTGACTATGCATATGGGTAACCTGATGGAGTTCTAGGCTCCTGGCTCCATACTGGAGGCCAGGAGTGAACCAGCAGATGGAAAATTTCTCCTTGTTTGTCTGACTTTGTCTCTTTCTGTGTGCCTTGCAAATATATAAACTTTTTAAAATTGAAAATGAAGAGAAGAGATAATCAGAAAGCCTAAAGGTGAGGGCAGTTAATGCCATTCAGGGCTTGACAAGAGAACACAAGACCTTGAATTCACCTTTATGGAAGAATTGCTTATTTAAGAAGTAATTTATTTTTTCAGAAATTATGCACAGAAATGTCTTTATTCTGACATCAAGGGGTAATCAGATGGCCAATAGCATAGACTCTTTTAAGCTGTGGTGAGACTTTGGTGAGAATCACTTACTCAAAGTTAAAGAAACCAAGCACTTACTCTCTCTTAATCTAATCTTTATGCAGAAATTGTTCATTTGCTGAGTCAATAACATTCATTTTTCCAAAATTATTTATATAAATGTTCTGATATTGACCTCAAGGAGATTTAGATGAATCAATATTTAGTCATCCCAGCTGCCCATTTCATCTTAGAAATGTGAGACTTCAGCAATCACTGTTGTAACACCTGGTTGTTATCCAACTTCTGAGTGAACAATCTTACTAGCTCCACTTTTCTCTGGAGATGAATCCACAGGATTACTTTAATTTTTGCCAATTTTCCCTTGTAGTCCTTCAAATATTTGAAGATAATTCCCACAATTCCCTTGAGTCATAGATGCTCTGATCCTCATTTTAGACCTCTCTACTGATCTTTGTGTATCTACTGTTCCAGACTGCTTGCCATTTAGTTCTTTTAGACGAGGATGTTAGAATGTCTATGTTTCTATGGAAAAAAAATTCTACTTTCAAATTTGTATATTTATCTCTTTTTTCATATGGAAAATTCCAGCAGTAATTTTGTATGAAAATATGATAAAAGCAAGTCAATTTAGATTTTAGTATTGGTGGTCACTTTAGGTATCTAGGCACATTATGGACAGTATTTCCTTCCCTCACATAAAAAATCTATAATAGATCTTCCTTAAGTCCATATGAGATGATTGATTCATTAAATTTAGTTGTTTGATTAATTGTAGGCAGTTATTCTACACTCAATTAGAAGTCAACATTCCGCATGTGGTTCTATCTGTATTTATGGCCTGCACATCCTTTTTGGTGCTGAAGCAAGTTTACAACACGTGTTAGAAAGCATCAAGGCTAGGGATTAGCATGAGGCTGATTTCTTATTCATGATATGAATGAAGTTAGGATGAGCCTGATGAGGTGTAACGTGTCCTGTTCTATTGTTGCCCTGGAGAATACTGAAAAATAAGGTGATGCTTCTCACTTTCTCTGAGTGCCTTGTGAATTCATTCTGCTTTAGAACTCTTGATTCACTGGGAAACACAGTTAGCAGAAGAAGTGCTCAAAGCATCTCACAACCATCTATCCAATCTCCCAATCCTCTAGTCAATGAAGTTTCATTTTGCATTTGGGAGGGTCTTCCCACATTATAGGAGATGTTTCCTGGATTATCTTTTACAACCTTTAGAAATTCCATCTATCATTCAAGATTCAGCTGAAAGTTCTTTGAATGTGATTTTCGTTAACCCTTAGCCAGAGTAGTATTTCCTTTCTTGGGGTGGAAAGATCTACTACCAGCCCCTCCCTGATAGCATCTGTCCTAACTTGTTGGTTTTATATTTATTTGTGCTTTTAAAGATTCATATATTTATTTTGAAAATCAAAATTTCAGAGGGAGAGAGAGATCTTCCATCCACTCATTCACTCCCCAGTTGTCTGCAATGGACAGTGCTAGGCCAGGCTGAAGTCAGGACCCAAGAGCTTCATCCAGGTCTTGTATATGGATGGCAGGGGCCATCTTCCACTGCTTTTACCAGGCCATCAGCAGGGAGCTGGATCAGAAGTGGAGCAGCAGGGACACAAACCGGCACCCATATGGGATGCCAGTGTTGCTACACCACAACGCCAGTCCCAGGTTTTATATTTATGTATATCTATACATAATCTGGTTTCCATTTACAACTACTGCTTCATAGGAAAACTCCTGATAGACATTTTCCTGTTTTTTCTTTTACTGTCTTAACATCTTAACACCTTTTCTCTAGTAGAATTCATTGTCATGTAAGTTATGGTGGGAAACCCTGTTTTTGACTATTGAGGACACAAAAGCCTAGAAAAAAAATCCTCTTTAGCTCCCAGCAATAAGGCATGGGCCAGGGCTTACATCATCAGATGGCACGATGCTACCTGGAATCTTAATCTAGAGCATTGACACCCATATCTAGTGGCTTTGAGAATTTCTTTTGGTGTTAGTGGTGGCAAGAGCCATCCTCCAGTGGGAATGCTTGCTCTGTGTTAGTAGTGGCCTGTAACGTGCAACAGTGATGTCAATTTTGTCCCATCTAGACCACTCCTGTGCTGTAATATTGCCTTTGGGTCTGGAGCCTGTCCATTTTCTGAGGCTGGCTTTGCCTATCACATTGCAGTTGCAAACTACGTAGTATTCTTCTGATAAACCACTTTGAAGTTTAAGTCTGTTGTTTGCAACCAAGAACGCTGACTGGTGGAGGAAGTATCTTTATTTCATTCAGATTTGATTACCATGTATGAGAAACATGATAAAGTTCATGGGAATGGAATTAAAAGATATGTTTATTTCAGCGCAAACAAAAATAGAAACCCAGGCATATGAAGTGTCTTCAAAAAGTTTGTAGAGGGACTGGTACTGTGGTGTAGTAGTCTAAGCCTCTGCCTGTGGTGCCAGCATCCCATATGGGCACCAGTTTGTGTCCTGGCTGCTCCTCATCCGATGTAGTTCTATGCTTATGACCTGGGAAAGCAGTGGAAGATGGCCCAGATGCTTGGGCCCCTGCTCCCACATGGGAGACTCAGAAGAAGCTCCTGGCTCCTGGTTTCCAGCTCTGGCTATTGCAGCCATTTGGGGAGTGAACCAGCAGATGGAAGACCTTTCTCTTTGTGTCTCCTTCTATCTGTAACTCTGCTTCTCAAATAAATAAATTTTCTAAAAGTTTATAGGAAATGAATATTCTGAAAAAATTGTGCATGGATTTCAAAATTTCTGCATTAAAATATTTATCTTACATTTATCATTTAATTCTGTTTTGCATCAACCTTTTAAAGCCGCACCATAGAATGTGCCTAATCACCATAGGATGTGCCTAATGTTTGTTGAATTATTTAGATCATGCTGGCTGGATAGGATGTCTACAAGAGCCAAAAGGAGACTGTCAGGCCACATTATTTCATTAGCTAAATTTTTTGGGAGGAAAGATCAGGCATTCCTCCCTTTACCTTCCTTTTCATTTCTGAATACAGGATCTCTGTATAGAGTTTTAGCACTCTGTGGGGTAGCTTGTAGCCTGTTTAACTTCTACAGTCACTGAGTTTGGTTGTGCTGGCACTCTGGAGTTCAAAATTAGAAAACTATAGTCACTATGGATTTACAGTTGAGGAGAGGCATCGTGGAGGGAGAGAGTCATTTTCCTCACTGTGTGGCCTGGAATACCTGCTTTGGCATTGTCAGTACCAGGAACTCAGGCACAGAAGAGAGAGAGTGGCACTAGGTGGTTTCTCTTGGTTATAGTTCTTCCTCCTCTTGATCTGGCTGAGGAATTTGCAGAGTTGACAGCTGTCATTGGTTCCAAACACTGAAAATAGAAGTGCAGAGGGAAATAAAGTCCCCTCTCTCTTCTGTAACCAGACCGTCAGTGTTTACACACTCACATACTGCACACACACATGCACACACCCTCCACCCCTGCCTCACTGGTTTGGGAAATAGCCTGAGGCTTCGTGGTGGTTTCCCTGCTCTGCAGGCCTGGGACTTGCTGCCTGGGCAGAGCCCAGTATGTGTCTGGGGGAGGTTGGTGAGTAATGTCAGCGCATCTGGAGAACTCACCTCTGACAGCAAGTGATGAGCTTCCTAATGGGAGCGTAATGGCTGCAGCCCTGCCTGGAGGCTTGTCTTCTGCTCAGCAGCTGCCACACAGGCGTCTGTTTGCCTTCCCCACAGCCCCAGGGGAGCCCTGGGCCAGGTTGTGCCACTTCACTGACTGCAGAAAGCTGTGTTTCCACCATGGGGAGGGAGACAAGTGTGTTTATCCACAGCCAGGCTTGGAATGAGAGTCTTCTCCTTATGGGAATGCATCAATCACTTCTCAGGACTGACCTTTTGTCATAGTTCCTCTTGTCGGGGATGTTTTGCTTTTCCTAATTGCAGAACCAAAATGAGGACTTCGTAATTAAGCATGTGGTAGACAACATGGCAGCGGCCCTGTGTTTTCCCATTCTTCTCACAACAGCGCTCTGCAGTGCAGTGGGGTTGAAGGTTATGGCTCCAGACTTCTGGGCTGTAGTTGGCCAAAAGCACAGTGCTCCAGGTTTCTGTCCGGGAGCCTGCCTAATGCGAGTTTATGCCAAACCATTTAAGTGGAAAATCCAATGGAAGCTTCCTGTGTTTGCCCTGTACAGTGTGCAGAGGAGGCTAAGCACTCAGCTTGCATTCCAAAATTGGAACAAAGGGGCATTTGTTCTCTTTCCTGAGTAGCTACAAAGCGTTTTCAAGAACATTTTGAGACATAATTATGTTGATTTGACTTAGGCCAAAATCAATGGATTGTTTTCCTGAGAAAGATGAGAGGCCGTGGCTTCTTCCCCACCCCCTCCATCTCCTTTGGAAGTAGACAGCCTGTGAGAACAGCATCCCTTGCACTCATTAGCAATACTTCTGGAGCTGTTCCTATGAAATAAATTGTTTGGAGGTCAACATGAAACACCAACTGGAATGTAACAAAAAGATATCAAAACAGAACAGCCCTCTTTGTGATCATTAAGACAATGTTAAAAAGGGAGAAATCTATACTATTGACCTACCTTTGATATTTGCTGCTTTCATAGAGAGTTGTCATCACAAATCCCAGTGACTAAACTCATTGCATGTTGCAGAGGCTCCTGAAACTGTGTGTTCATAATCCTCTTCTGAAGAAAGGCGTTAAAGAGAGTGTTATTACTTACTCTCTGGTGTGTAAGAAATACAGCTGCCAGGACCAGCTAGTACCAACTGCATGCCGCTGGCAGTATACCTTCTTGTTTTTGAATGCTTTCTGATCTCATCTTGGATCCTGAATTTTTTGGAACCTTGTGTAACTCTCTATGTCTTAAATTGCGTTGATTGATAAATGGACATTGATGACAATAGTGTGGGACTTTGTGCTTTATTGGCTCTGGGCAGGTGTCATCAAGACCAGAGCAGTTGTGTAGCCTAGAGATTAACATGCTATCATCCCTTGAGTAGCTATGTTCAGTTCCCAGCTCTGGCTTCTGTTTCTAGCTTCCTCTAATGCAGACGCTAAGATGAAACAGTGATGGCTCAAGTAATTGGGTCTCTGCCACCCATGTGGAAGACAGATTTGGAGTTCCTGGATACTGTCTCCTGGCTTCAGCCTCATTCCTCCTCTAGCCACTGCAGGCATTTGGGGAATGAACCAGTACTCTCTCTGTGTCTCTTACATGAATAAATAATCAAAAAAATTGTAAAAAGTTTTAAAAAAAGAAGGTTTCTCATGCCCAAGGAAGAATACCAAGGGATGCCAAGATCATTAACAAGTCAGTGTGGCTCATCTGTCACCGTGTACATTCTTTCCACAAATATTTGATACTGGTAGTTAAAATATCTCATTCGTATTAACAACGAGCAAAAACATTACCTAGTACCTATTGAGTATAGCTATGTGATTATAAATAATCAGGAGTACTTAATTATATTACAGTAGTCTGAGGCTGGTTATAGTATCTCTGGAAGGAGTAGGGCATGAGAGCCTGGGTTTAGCCAGAACAGACTAGAATTTGGAAAACAGATATTAGAGAGGGAGGACTTGAAGACTCATGGTTTTTTTTGAAAATTGGGGATAGATGTTTGATTGTGGGTCCCTGCCCATTGGTAGGATGGGGCCCAGGTTCAGGGAAACTCAGATGGCAAGCTGCGTCTTATCCATGATTTTCAAGGTATATCCTGTGCAGAGTTTTGCTTCTGTCACTCTCTTTGTCTCTGTCACTCTCTCACTGTCAGTTTGAGATTCTAAGCAAAGCATACACTGTTAATTTCATAACCTTCCTCACATTATACATTAGGATATTTTAAAGGAGGAATTTTGGCTCCTCCTTTGAGCCAAGACTTTATAGTAGAAATCTCACCTTCTTGAAGCCAGTCTAGTCACAACAGCATCTTTGATTCCAGCAGCCAGGAATGAGGCTGCTGCCTTCTGTATGGGAGTTGTCTGTAGGAAAACGTCTCTTTGGATGTCCTGGCCTTCATTTTTTAATGATAAATTTATAAATATTTATATGTTATAGATAAGGAAACTGAAGCTTGAACACTGTGACATTCCAGTTTTTTTTTGCAATTAAGCAAAAGCAAAGGTGAGATTGGGACCCATGTTAGTGTCTAGACAAAGCCCATGTTACATACATGATGGTGGCCCTTCATGGCTTAGAGTACAGCGTCTAACTTGGCTTCACCCCAAAGAGTAAATCAATGAACCCCCTCACCTCTTTATCCAACAACCTCATACCACACATGTGCACACGTGCACACATACACACATGTAATGATATATACTAGGTTGCCCTTGATGGTCACCATGGCCAGTCAGTGACTTGGGATGCTGCCAAGCATGGGGCCTTTCTATGTGACTTAAAACTTATGTGTGTCTTAAGGATTGAAGTTTTATGAGGAATCATCCCTGTGGTGTTTGCTGACTCACAGTGGACACTTGATAAATGTTTATTAAATAAAAGATTGAATCTGGTGGCCTTTCCTGTGCAAACCTTAAGAAGCTCTAACATATGCAAAGTACTTTTTTTTCTAAGCCCTTGCACATATTTGATCTTTATTATATATCCATGATAAATATCCCCACTCTTTAGAAGACAGAACCTAGTTTCAAGGAGAATTGAGACTATCCCACATTCACAGCAAACTCAGTGGTGTGTTGAGCCTGGCCACCAAGTCACACAGCTTGTGGTCAAATGTGCTTGTCTTTATTTCTTCCTGAGTACTTTCCATTGATCTTTCCATATGTTGAATTGAGGGGAAATATCCAATATTACTCTTAGTGCTGAGTCCACTTCTTAAAAAAGATGAACTCATGGCATTGAGAACAACAGGGATGATGCCAAACAGTTCTGTCTTGAACAATTGATGCCTATCCTTGCATTCTTGCCAGAACTCTCCTGCTGTTTAATTTCTTCTGACTTCCGAGATCAAGCAAACCCTAGTGCATGCTAGAGCTCTAGTGACTGAGGATGCACACTTCATAGGATTTTATTCTAAAAATCTTACATATGGCTGTAGTGCCCTCTTTAAAACAGTGTTTTTATGGCTTGAAATGGGTTAATTGCCTTCCCTCCCCCACCCCTTTAACTTCAAGTATATTAAAAACCAGGTTTTTATCATGCAGGGAAATTATTGCCAGAGTTGGATTATGTGCCTGGGATTAGTTGTTTGCTAAAAGAGAGCAAGAATCTGGGTTTTGGGACCTACCTGAGTCTGAGCTTAGCCGAGAAAGTTCTTGAGTTGAGGATTGCAAAGTTCAGTTTCCACAATATTTGAAGTCCGATAAACATTTCCTAGACCCCTTTTAACTCAAAATGTAGTTCTTGGAACAGCAGCATGACATCACCAGAGAACTTGTTAAAAATTAACTCTTATGCCCCACATCAGGTCTATGCACCCAGAGTCTGCGCTTCAAAGAGATCCTCCAGTGATTAACACTTACATTAGAGTTTGAGGAATACTTTTCGAGGTAAGTTAGGGGATACTGCACGTTTTATGGATTGACAATTACAACAAAGGCCTCAGAGAGCCAGGAGTGTAAGCTAATGGCCCCCATTAATTTAAAACCAACATTATGCCTCAGGAGGTGCTAAAGTTGGTGGAAGGCTCTGCTGATTGGTTAATGTAGGCTTGAAATTATAGTTGCAGCTATTTTCGTGGTCCACAGACATGTAGCATTTGCATTACGTGGGAGCTGGTTAGATGTGCAGAATCTCAAGCCCATTTTAACAAGAGCTACAAGTGATTTATTTGCATGTACATTAAGACATGAGAAGTGCTTCTTATTCCATTCCATCAGTTCTGTACTGAAGTACAGTAAATGTGTGAGGGTCCATCTCAGGCTGGTTTTCAGATGGATTCTTCCGAGGGGAGGGGGCCTGAAGAAAACAAAATAGCTAAATATCCTAAAAGGGAATAGCTCTTAATTTTGATTGTGTATTGGAAACAGCCAAAGAGCTTAAAAAAAAAAAAAACTGTTTTCTGGGACCGCTCCTTGATAGTTTGATTTAATCAGCCCTGGGTCTGGCCCATCTCAGACAAGTTTCCAGCCTCTGCAAGTGCCGATATCATCCAGTGCTGCTGCCGGTGTCAGAGGAGCATCAGAGCCCATCTTCAATCCCGCTTCAGTTCTGATTCTGATGTGAGATGAAACATTTGAAGACTTACCTGTGTTTCAACTTTAAAGTATAAATGCCAGCATCTTCGGGAACTCAAGGGAATGAGGGAAGAGTGTGGCATTCTGAGAAGAAAGATTGAAGAGCACCATCAAGGACTAAGGCACACATTGGAGCACAAGGAAGATGAAACCTGATCTCATTTCTTCCCCATAACCATGAATGCACATGATGGGTATTTTATCTTGAATGGCAGGAAATACCAATTATGAAATCGAAACTGTTTGTTGCAGTCTCATTTTATTTGATGAGTATCTACTCTTCCTGGCCTGAGTGAAGAATTTTCCCTTAAATGCCACCAGATTTTACCCATAACTCATTGGTTTTCTCCCATCCTACTTTCTACTTTTTCTCTTTATTCCTTCCTTCCATCCCTTTCTCCCACTTCTTCCTCCGCTCCTTCATTCCTTTCTTCTTTCACTATTAAAATAAATGTTTATAACACACTGTATGCTAGGACATGATTTGTCATTTTCCTTTTGGTTGTGTGCACATTGAATTTTTCTGAACTCCTTCTTGTTTACTCACATTCTTTTCCAAGTTTGGTGCCTAAAATGTAATTCAGCTTTCGTGAAGATCTGAACAATAAGAGGATGAGGGAAGTTTGACTTCTGGGTCATTTGTATTTAGTTTGTGAACAGTTTAGAACCCTTATTTATTTTTCCTTGCCCCAAACTGACTCACTACAGAATCAGTTCACTTTGCCAAGGTCAGAATTTTATTCCTGTTCTGTAGGGGTATTAGCAAATCAGCCTAACTTAGTAGCGTCTGCAAATTTGATGAGCACATTGTCAATTCCTTCATCCCAGCCATCAATAAAGATATTGAATAGGCAATAAAGATATCGAACCTTGTCATACTCTGGGACAAAGGCATAGGTGTTTACAATAACACTTGTGACCCAAACAACTCTGCCAGTTGAACTCACACTTTCTTCTCAGAATCAACACATCAAGCTAACAAAAAAAAAACTTCAAATGTTATTAGAACTATTGTCATCCAGACCCCTAATCTATCTGCTCTTGGATATGTAATGTGTTTCAACCCCTCTTCTCACTGTAACCTATACACAGTCTTTGTAAAGGCAACTTGGATTCTGGACTACATTGGTGTCACAATACCTTGAATTCTTGCTGTTGAATCAAATAGTTCAAGCCATGACTACTTCCACAGTAGCTCCTCCTCTTTCCCAATTCATTCTACTTAAACCCTTTCTTAACATATAGTCTCTGCAGTTTATTTTGAAGGCTGCACACGATGTTGTTTTGATGCTGATAGGTTTTCCAAAGCATCCTTGTCAATAACCAAGATAGGAATGGGCTTTCATTATGTTTAATGCTTACAGTATGATTCCCTATGCCTGTGGTGAGCTAGCAGATTGAACACGCTTACTGTTGGATCTGACTGTAACAGTCCCCTGATTGGAGTATGGGAGGAGTGCTCAGAATATTTCTGAGGTAATGACTCTTCATTCTGCAATGTCAGGCGCTCAGCAGCCTGTGGCAAGGCCTCTTCTCAATGCTTCTTCTTTGCTTGGCCTCAGATTATCCCCTGACTTAGAAATAAAATGCCACGATAGTTAATAATGTGACTGGCAGAGAGACATAGAGTCATTTGTCTCTATAGAGTGAATCAAAAGCCTATATCAACCCAAACAAACAGATGACAGCCCCTCTCCTGCAAAAAGAACTTTTGCTCATCACTATCCATTCAGGTATCTTTCAGGTTTTGCTTTAATTCAAATCATGCATTTGAAGTAGCAATCATAGTTGGAAATAAAGACAAATGATGTGCATCCTTCCAGACTTTGAGATGGGCACACTGCCTTTCCTATGATGATTCTCCCATGGAAGGCGACGAATCTTTTCATCCTCTCTGAAATACTTATTTCAGCCTCCAAAATGCTTTACCTGTTGATACCAATATCTGGACAGCACACTCAGTTCCGTTGCCTCTTTAGCTGTCAGTTTCTAAGCCTGTCCTGCTCTCTCAATCATTCCCTTCTTTGGTCACTGCCTTCTCTGGGAGCTTTCTTCTCCTTCTCCTTGTTTGTTGAACACTTTGACACTTGATGACAAATATTTGACTTTTAATACTTACTGTTTATCCATTCATCCACTCATCCATCAGTGACTTATTATGGAGTATCTACTATTTTCCAAGGATTGTGTTGGCATCCTTAGTACAAGCAAATGTAGACCCACCCTAATAGATCTTTAAGTCTGGTGAAGGACACAGACCTTAAGTAATTGAAAATGGCGTGAAATTAAGAACTATTGCAAATGCCTTTCTAATCATAAATATAGGGCACTCTAGAACTTTAGTGATGCTCCACCAATAAAAAATTTTTTTTGAGTTAAAATTGAAAGGAGAAATGGGAGTTGTTTAGGAAAAGGATAGGAAAAAGGTAGAGAATGCTTGCCATGGGCAACAGCATGTACACAAGTCTGCATGGTAGGAAACAGAAAGTGTGACTTTGAGAGTGGCATTTGTGTGCTGTGAGAGAAGGTGGAAGCGGGTGGCAGAGTTCAGGCAGGTAAGGTCCCTTAGACCTGGTTGAAGGATTTTGCTCTTTGTTCTTTGAGCTGTAGGAAACCTTTGAAGGTTTTGAAGCAAAGGAAGGCATTTCACTCCCTTTTTCTTTTTCAGATTTCACACTGGAGCTGTCTTAGAAAGGATTAGACAAGAGTAAGACTTTTGGGGAAAGTTTTGGAACATCATTTAGGACTTAATGGTAGCAATCTAGAAATGCAATGGTGACAGCTTAGATCAGGGGGAATAGTCGGGGAGATGGAGATGGAGAAGTTGGAATGATGTTGGAGGTGAGATGAACAGGATTCCTGACAGCCTGGCTCTGTGGGTTAAGAAGAGGAAGAGGCCAAGGATTTCTCCCATAGTTTCTGGCAGGCACAGCTAGTTGGAAGGTGATGTCACTGAGAGATTGGAAGAGAACACTATTAGAGAGGGAAGAGAGCTTAGGTTTGACTCACTGTAGAGTTTAACGAATTTTGTAGTCACCCAATGAACCTCAACATGTGGAACAGGAGCTTCAAGGGGAGCTCCTGGCTGGAACTATCAATGTGGAAAGCTCAGATATGCAGGTGGTAATGGACACTCTGGATTTAGATTAAAATCGCTAACACAGGGGATGAAACAGGTTACAGTTCTCACTTCACCATGAAGGTTAAATTTTCTTCTTCTTTTGTTCTCTTTATTATACTGAACACAAGCCTGGGTCCATTCATTAAATTTAGTTAATATTTACAAGACGCCTTCACCAGACTTTGTTTAATTTTCATAGCTTTCCTGTAATGTAGATATGATTCTTTCCATTTTAGAGATACAGACATGGAAACTCAGAGGGATTAAGCAAATATTCAACTTAGACAAGTAGCAGTTGCCAAAGTTGTATTAGAAACCAGCACATTTTCCTCTCAAATATCCGTTATGAGCTCCTGCTTTTAATATCCAACAAAGGAGGTTCTGAATAGATACTTGTTTGTTGATGGATTGATGCCAGATAAAGTAAATATCCAAGAATTAGTAAAAGCTGCTGTTTTTTCATTTTTCTAATCAGAATCTGAATTAAGCCTTGTTCTGTTGATGCTTTGCCCCAAATTCCTTTCTGTGGATGGGGAATTGTTTGAGTGTGCTGGATGTAGTCTGGCCAACAACACTAAGTAACAGGTGGCTCTGAGATCTAAAACTTCTTGAAAGAATCCATAAATTACTGGGCTCCTCTTCTATATTCAGGAGGCACTCTAGGTGCGTAAGGCCAATTGTACTGGAGGTAATGAAAATTTACATTAAAAATAACATTTCTTGGAAGTAATATGTTCAATAATAGTCTACTTACCTTGGAGTGAGGGGGTTCCTAGAATGTGGCGCTTCAGTGCTAAGAATTGGGATAGCTCTGGCAAAGCAGAATGATTGGTCATTTTCCATGGCTGGGATGGGGATTGATATCACAGTTTTTTCTAGTCATTTAGGGAAAGCTTAGTGGAAGGAGTTGAATTTCTAAGATTATTTAAAGGATAGAAGATAATGGAGAGTGGTATTGACTTGGGAAAAGGAGAAGCAAACCGTGTTGCCAGCCAAATTACCAGGAACATTAATCCTTTCAAATCTATTAATGAA